GAGAAATTTTTCGAAGAAATAATATCAAGCAGGAAAAGAAAAAATACCACTTTCGGGAAACTGGGAACTTTCCATCTTCAAGGTTTTTTTAATATTTTTCTTTGTATTTTTCCTTTTCTTCGATTTCTTGTGTGAATCTTCTATTGCCATGTCTCTTTTTCTATTCCTTTGTGCTGTAGAAGGGACAAGCAAGAAAAAGAGGTGATCAATGGAGCTGAGGGTAATCAACCCAGAAAAGAAGTCCAGACAAGGGGCCATGAGACAAGAAATTATTTAACAAAAACTGGCTACCCAACCCAAAAAAATATAATATTATATATTAAATTTTCTGAGTAAAATAAAAAAATTGAACATAACAGCTCTAAGGTTTCGAAAATTTCAATAATTAGCTGGTTAAAAGATCTTAAAAATTCTTTCCACCATGCTTAATAATTGTAGCGGTTGAAAATGAAATAAAGGAACAACGAGTTAAATAGTTTTAGCATGTCTTACATGGATTTAAAGAAATTTATGTTTACAAAACTAATGTAGCATCTCAATAAAATGCATTGGAGATAGATTAAAATTCAAATAAAAAACGAAACAAATAGTACTTAAATCTTTTAACTTCAGAGCTTGTTTGGTACAGCTATTTTTTCTAAAAATTTGATAAAATTAGACAATTTTATTTTTAGTCCAACATTTTATTCTACTCACGAGTTTTATTCACTTCTAATAACGTATTCATAGGATCCACCAATTTTTATCAACTTTATTTGTTAAAATTTTACATAAGATCGGCACTAAGTAGCCGTTGGAACATGTAGTGAAAAGAAATAAATGAAGTTAATATCAAATTCCTTTAACTACTTGAGAGACATTAGATGGGTTGATTTTTTCAAGTTTTCCTAGTCTCAAGGCCATGCTACACGACAGATCTCCCCTTCCAATAATGATTTTTAACCTAATGCAATGTTGGTTGAATTCAAATGCTATAAATACAGAAACCTGCAAGCAATGAAATGCACAGCAAAGCATTTCCTTAGTTTGTTTAATTCTACTATCACAAGATGGACAATTCCCAGAACATCAGTTACGAAGCTGGCCAGGCTCTGTTCTTAGTCTCTTCTTCAGCTTTGCCTTTGGAGTAAAGGTTCCTCAACTTCCAGTAATGATAAAGAGGCCTTAGCAGATAGCAGTGTGAAAAATTAAAATCTAAAATTTGCAAATCTAAAGAGGCCGTTGAAATTTGTAATGCTAATTCTGCTATAAAATCTACTCTTTTCTACTGCTCTTTCTTTTGTTATAATGTTTGTAAAAGAAAAAAAAAATTGTGGCAGAAATAAGAAGCAAAAACCAAAAACAATTGAGAAGAAATACATATTCAAAAGAGAGAAAAATTTAAAAGGGATAAAATTATATATAACCTACCTTCACCTTGGCAGTTGGAACAATGGAGCAGAAAATTGAGGGCTCACCTTATAGGACTCCTCGCCGAGCGATTAGACTTAGAAGAGAGTCAGTCGAGAATCTGGAGACAAGAAGAATTGAAGACGATACACAGGTTGAGAGAGGTGGGTAGACTGTAGAGGTTATCGTCTTCAGAGGGGATATGGATGTTAGGTTTTGGTTTGAGCCAATGAGTTTAATTTTGGGAAAAAATCATATATACCCGATTGATATATATATATATATATATATATATATATATATATATAT